TATTGGCAAAAACGATATATGTAAGCGGTTATTATAATATATAAATAAGTTAAAATAATTAGAATACACATATGACCTAATGTTGCGTCAGCGAGGTCACGTGACTAGTATCACGCCACTTCTTTCTCGAACCTTCGTGAATTGTCGGGAGATTACTAGATTGGGGGTAGACTGGTATATATATAAGACGGTCACAACGTGACGGAACAATGTGTAGGTAGGTAGTAATTGAACTGCAGTTCGTTGTTATAGCGCGATTGTTGAAATTAAGTGTATCGCAAAGTTATATTCAGAAAGAATAAACCAGTTTTATTTAAGAAAGGACTTGTGTCGCTAAAGTTTCGTCGGAACGAAGTTGCGGAAAATTAACTAACGAACAGAGACGTAACAATATTGATAGGTCCATTGGATTAATTAGCAGTCACGTCAGCTAAGATCTTGTTATCAGTTGTGGTTTCGTTATTCAAAAATAAAACACATATGGAATGCAAAATAGAGGAACTAAATATATATATATTACTGTATTTTTAAAATCTTAAAGAAAATACTAATTTAGTATTAGAAGGCAGAAAAAATTGTTTGTTCGTCTGCGAGATATGCGAATTTGAGGGAAGTTCCATTTCATTTAATAATTGTTTTTCCACGCTTTTGATTTTCCAATTTAACTTTCCACATACTCGTTTTTGAAAAATTAAATGGGTACTGATCACTAAGCTTAGCCTCGTAGGTTAACTAGTTTGTATATATCTTCAATAATCTTATTCTGTCCATTTTTTCTTTTAAATTTTATATTAATAAAATCTGTTAATTTTTCTTATGATTTAAGTAAGATATTACGTTAGGCCTACTTTTGGTATAGGATGTTAGGCCTATTATAGAATAGTTTTTACTCAAACTTTTAGTCTATGTTTTGGGATTATTGAATATAATACGATCAGTTCTTAGCTATTGAAGATGTAGAAGCAATGCGCTCATCTACTGGTTAAGAACAGATCTTCCTAATTAATAGCAAAATATTATATTATCCATTCTTTCCGGAAATGAATAATTATGCGAAAGAAACAGGAAGTAAGCATAACATCAAATTCGTTTAGACAGTGGTTCGTAAATCTACTGTTGTTGTGGATTTTATTGATAATATTCATTTATTCGTTCAAAAGAGTTCTAGTGTTCGAATATCTCTGGTTGCACATTACGCACGATAACCTGTATACCACTAACGAGGTATTCAATGGATGTTGTTTATCTTTGAAGTTGAAGAACCTTTTAACTTACTTAGTTTTAAAAATACATTTTATAACTGTTTGATAATTTTTTTAAAATCATGTATGAAATAGTACCTAGGTAGGGTATGATTAAACTTAAAGTAACAGTTTCCTTCGAAACGTTTACGTAAGAACAGATGGAGTATTTAGTTTTGGTTTAGATAGGGACAACAACGTAAGAAAATTTCTTCTAAGCATTTTTGGTTGGTGTTCTCAACTTCTGTTTCAACAAGGTTTTGATTTTTAAACACTGTAAAGCAAAATTTTAACCAAATTTTCTTTATAGACTGAAACTTTCAAAATGTGAATAACGTCCCCTGAAAGTGGGCTTACGATACGCTTTAGTGGTAAGTACACCCTGTTTATTCAAGTCATGAACATCTAATAATGCGAGTTTGTCATTTTGTTGAATTTCAGCTGAAATTTTGTATTGGAACTTTAATCATTTAAAAACTGGAGAAATTTATTAACTAATTCAACACTGTTACAGATCAACTTAAAGACAACCACATTAAATACCTCACTAGTGGTATAACAATTCATGTGCCTTATGTGCAACCAGGGGTATATTGGATCAACCACCAGATGGCTCTGCAGTTGAATGAAATAATGCTGTACTGCGAAAACCTACAATACCAGTAGTATTACTAACTACTGTCTAAATAAATTTGATGTTCTGCCCACCTCCAGTTTCTTCTACATCATTATTCATTTCAGGGAAGAATTCCATTATATAATCTCTTGCCATTAAACTAATACAACAAGCTTTTACCCATAAGATAATCATGCTTCTATTACAACTTCAAGTGTGAAAATATAAATAAAAGAAACAGAACATGAAGTTTGTTCATTTAAAGTTAAACTGTAATGCTTAAAGTATTATATTGCACATACAAATAACAATTACGAGAATTTTTTTTCTCTCTCTCTCTGTTGTTGCTAAGCCCAACTAATGAGTTCTAATATTGAATGAAAAGCCTCTGGGCAGTGACTTGTAGGAGAAAATAAAAATCTGAAAAGCTATTACCCGCCTCTAATTTTGAATTTGAAATAAACAAATTAAGAAGAAAGTAGAAAAAAAAATCTGCTGTTTATGTGATTTTTTGTTCTCAAATTTTAGGCTTATTGGTTTCTAACACAAGTATTGTTCTCAATATTTTAGAAAATTGTACGTTGGTAGGTGTTATATAGAAACTTCATTTACTGTATCATTATCTTTAGTTTCATTACACAACTAAGACCAATTATTATTTCTTGAAATATTGAAAACTTGTTTATCTTCATCTGTCCTTTTTATTTCACTTTTGTAAGTTGTTCAATTCCTCTTTCTTTGATGAGGTTTGAATATGTACAGTTCTTACTGAAACAGGTGATGGAGAATTTTCCAGTTATGAATATTTTAATAACACAGAAAACCTTAACATAAGTGATACTGTTAATGATATAGACAGTGATCTTGATGATTATGACAAAGTAGAAAGTTGAGTTATCCAATCAGCTTGTTGGATGGGTTTCAGAGTTTTGAATTTCTCGCACATCTTCTCTATTGTAAATTTTGGTGGTATACATTATAACTAGCATATTATCTTCAGCTGAAGTCTTCTCTTCAGTAGATGTATCATCTTTAACTGATGTGCATGCAGTCTCTTTGCAAATTGATTCAGATGATTTTCTTCTATTTAAAAATTTAAACACTCAGTTGTGGTTAATATTGAATAGAATTGTTGTTCCCTTGCTAGTCTTTTTGTGATGATCAAAAGCCTCAAAATGTTATGGAACATCATAAC